TGGTCTGCTTATCTTTGTCTTCGGTCGGATCATGGACGCAAAAAAGACTGATGTAGAAGAACTTGTGCACGTGCGTCCAAGTGCAGATTCGCAGATCGTGATCCTTTATGCGCTTGGGGGGTCGTCAAGATTAGGCGGGTTTGGTTTTCTTTTTTTTTTTTGCTTTTTTATAGTAGGAGGGGTTTTACGAGTGTGGGTAACTAACCCGACTCCTCAATCCATTTTTTATAGTTCTTATGGGTGAACACGCGGCAGTTACAGGTCCTTGAAAAAAATCCCCGAGGTACATTGGTACCGCCATAAATAAAACGAATGACATCAGTTTTGAAAATCGGAGAAGGATAGTGTTGGCCATCAGATGCTGCTATGGTCTAAGTCCTTGACCAAACTAACACTTTTCAAAACGCTGATACTACCCGTGCTGTTATATGGATCTGAAGCATGGGTACTTGCACAAGCAGATGAAGCAGCTCTTGGGGTGTTTGAAAGAAAAATTCTCCGAAAGATCTACGGGCCGAAGAAATATTTTTCAAGGGCCAACTGAGGCGTGGATTTATTAAAGAATATTTTTCAAGGGCCAACTGAGGCGTGGATTTATTAAAGAATATTTTTCAAGGGCCAACTGAGGCGTGGATTTATTAAAGAATATTTTTCAAGGGCCAACTGAGGCGTGGATTTATTAAGAAATATTTTTCAAACTGAGGCGTGGATTTATTAAAGAATATTTTTCAAGGGCCAACTGAGGCGTGGATTTATTAAAGAATATTTTTCAAGGGCCAACTGAGGCGTGGATTTATTAAAGAATATTTTTCAAGGGCCAACTGAGGCGTGGATTTATTAAAGAATATTTTTCAAGGGCCAACTGAGGCGTGGATTTATTAAAGAATATTTTTCAAGGGCCAACTGAGGCGTGGATTTATTAAAGAATATTTTTCAAGGGCCAATTGAGGCGTGGATTTATTAAAGAATATTTTTCAAGGGCCAACTGAGGCGTGGATTTATTAAAGAATATTTTTCAAGGGCCAATTGAGGCGGGGATTTATTAAAGAATATTTTTCAAGGGCCAACTGAGGCGTGGATTTATTAAAGAATATTTTTCAAGGGCCAACTGAGGCGTGGATTTATTAAAGAATATTTTTCAAGGGCCAACTGAGGCGTGGATTTATTAAAGAATATTTTTCAAGGGCCAACTGAGGCGTGGATTTATTAAAGAATATTTTTCAAGGGCCAACTGAGGCGTGGATTTATTAAAGAATATTTTTCAAGGGCCAACTGAGGCGTGGATTTATTAAAGAATATTTTTCAAGGGCCAACTGAGGCGTGGATTTATTAAAGAATATTTTTTTAAGGGCCAACTGAGGCGTGGATTTATTAAATAATATTTTTCAAGGGCCAACTGAGCGTGGATTTATTAATTTATATTTTTCAAGGGCCAACTGAGGCGTGGATTTATTAAAGAATATTTTTCAAGGGCCAAGCATTTAGGCGTGGATTTATAGCTGAAGAATATTTTTCAAAATTTAGGCGTGGATTTATTAAAAATCTGACAACATTTTGTTTAGATTAATATTGCATTGCATTGAATTTATGCAAGGAAATAAATTATCCATAAAAAATATTTTTCAGGGCCAAATATTGGATTTATTAACATATTTTTCAAGGGCCATCTGAGGCGTGGATTTATTAAAGAATATTTTTATATCCAACTGAGCTTTGATTTTTATTAAAGAATATTTTGTGTGGCCAACTGATGGTGGATTTATTACCACCATATTTTCAACCAACAAAGGCGTGGATTTATTAAAGAATATTTTTGAAGGGCCATCTGATGCGTGGATTTATTAAAGAATATTTTTCAAGGGCCAACTGAGGCGTGGATTTATTAAAGAATATTTTTCAAGGGCAAGGGCCAACTTAGGCGTGGATTTATTAAATCTATTTTTCAAGGGCCAACTGAGGCGTCTCTTTATTAGGAAATGCAATCTTTGTTTTTATAGCTTAATGTTTATATCATTAAATCAATATTTTTGCAAGGGCCAACTGCTAGGCGTGGATTTATTAAAGCCCCCATTTTTCATTAGGGCAACGAGGTATCGTGGATTTATTGAAAATTTTTTCAATGATAATAATAAAAATGCCAACCCTGCAGCCGTGGATTTTCTTTTGAATTTTTTCAAGGGCCAACTAGGCGTGGATTTATTAAAGAATATTTTTCAAGGGCCAACTGAGGCGTGGATTTGTTAAAGAATATTTTTCAAGGCGTGGATTTATTAAAGAATATTTTTCAAGGGCCAACTGAGGCATGGATTTATTATAAAATATTTTTCAAGGGCCAAGTGAGGCGTGGATTTATTAAAGAATATTTTTCAAGGGCCAAACATAAGGCGATAGATTTATTACACATCGAATATTTTTCAAGGGCCAACTGAGGATTTATTAAAGACAACGGCATTTATTACAACAAAAAATGTATTTTTCAGTTCAACTGAGTGTTTTTTAAAGTTTTTCAATTTCTTTTCGTGGATTTAAAAATCGAAAGAAATTTTTAAATATTAACTGAGGCGTGGATTTTTTTTCAAAAACCACTTGAGGTGAATTCTATTTAGGGGATATTTGTGTGGAATTTTTAAAGGACCAACTGAGGCGTGGATTTATTAAAGAATATTTTTCAAATAAATGAGGTGTGGATCTTTTTAAAGAATTTTTTTTTTCAAGGACCAACTGAGACGTAGATTTTTTAAAGAATATTTTTCCAATACAAACTGAGGCGTGGATTTTTTTGAAAAATATTTTTCCAACGCAAACTGAGGCTTGGATTTTTATACCCTTTACCACACTGTGGTACAGGGTATTATGTCTTTGTGCATATGTTTGTAACAGGCAAAAGGAAACGAGATACACATATGGTTCCTTTTGAGAATAAGCATAGAATCACTTTCAAAGTCGATTTATGCATGTCCGTCCGTGTTAAATTGTAAATAATGTACAGGTCGCATTTATGACGCGAATTGGATGAAAGTTGGCATAGGTCACTTATTTGGTCCAAGAACGAACCCTATTGAAATTGGAAAAATTCGGTTCAGATTTAAATGTTGCTCCCATATATAGCTTCGTCCGATTTTCAGTAAATGGTGCACCAATGTCCCTATATATCATTCGATTTGCTCGAACTTTGGCACAGCGTACTGAATTAAGTCTAGAATGATGTGTGCTGAGTTTCGTGAAAATCGGTCCAGATTTAGTTATAGCTCCATATATATTTTCGTCCGATTTTATGAAAATGGTGCATCAATGTCCCTATACATCATTCGATTTGCTCGAAATTTGGCATAGCGTAGAATGATGTGCGATAAGCTTCGTGATAATCGTTCCAGATTTAGATATAGCTCTCATATATATTTCGTCAGTGAAAATCGGTTCAATGAAATGAAATTTAGCATAGGTTCTAGGAAGGCATAAAGATCATATATTTTAGTTCGTTCACTTTAATGTTAGGAGACATATTTAGAATATACCCAAAGTGGTGAAGGGTATTATATAGTCCGACTTTACTACTTTCCTTACTGGTTTAAAGAATATTTTTTTTAACAACCAAATGAGGCATTGATTTTTTAAAGAATAATTTTTCAACGCAAACTGAGGAGTGGACCAACTGCATTTTCATCAAAGTCGTCGAGTATTTTCTTCAAGGACAAGGAAACTCTCTTTGAGGAATATGAGAACTTTTCCAGAACCAAGATACCTCTTTGGGGCTGCACAAAGGGTATTATAGCTTTGTGCAGCCCCAAGAGTTTGTAACGCCGCGAAATATTGGTCCTAGACCCAGCTTTAAGTATACCGATCGTCATATCTCGCTGAGTCGATTTTCTGGTCGCTCCAGAGGCCGCAATTATGACCCAAACATCGCGATTTTTTACATGGAGAAGGGGATCGGGCCAAAGAATAAGCATGCCTGTTTCGATAAAGATCGGTCAATATTTAGCGGGTCAAATGGATCCTTACTTTTATGTGAAAAATTACTCCTGAAGGACATGGACCCGATAAATTGATGGTACATCCAAGAGGAGTGGTTGACCTTTAAATTGATACCAATATTGTCGTATGTATTCGGATGTGGGAGTTACACTTACATATTTACAGGTGCTTATGTATTCATATATTATTTATTAACACATTACCACACTAGAGGGCGGAAATATAGCACTGATCGCTTTTAAATTTTCCATGAGGATCCAGGTATGGTCAAGGACAACGGCTATAATTTTCGGTGATGATCAGATAATCATTTTGCGATGAATTGGACCAAAAACTTATTTTTGTTGTGTTTTTTTCGAGTCGATCTATAGGCCGCAATTGAAAGTCGAACACAAACCACCGTGAAGGCAATCTGGATAAGTAATTAGAAGGGTTGTACTGAATATTAGTAATATTTGGAATATATGTCAGTGTAAGGAAGAGGTGCTGTTGCAACAGGGTGCAACTATCACGAAATATTGCCCAGGCTCGGAATAAAAATCCGCAGAATGTTAGAGATCCGTGATAGTTGTGTAGGGTATCGTATGGTCGGCCCCGTCCGACTATACTGCACCACTCACTGGTTTTTATTAATTTTAATTTTTAAATAGTCCAATTTTAATGTTTCTAAAACACGACAACTCTATTTTACTTTAATCTTCATCTGGCTGATTCTCTCCAGTATAATCGACCAACATACATTTAGATGTAGCATCTACGACGACAGCAGCAACAACTTCAGATGTTTGTCGATTTGTTACATTACATACTACGTACATACAAATTGAATGCCATAGGCAAGAACATCGATCGATCGATGGATAGATAGATAGTCAACTCATTTGAAGCGTTTTATAAGACCAATTCATTGTAATTTCAGACGAGTATTGGCAATTGTATATTTGTTTTTAAATTAAATTTTAAATTTGTGAATTTCATTTAATTGAATTTTGGATTAATAATTGCGGTTAGCATTTCACACTTACCTTACAGCAGGTACTTCTAATATATCCCATTCTACAGATGTATAAAATTCGGATAGATCCACACCAACATCGACGACATTGGTGCCATTTAATTCATCAATGTGTCGTAAATCAACCTGAAATGGACAAAGAGAGAAATTAATAAGCAATCGCGATAATTAAATATTGAAAATATGTAATGAAAATCAGTTGACTTAATTTGTTCTATGGGCACATGGGGCGTATTATTACATTTAAAACGCACCATGTGAGATATTACTTATACGCATAGGTGTATACAATATGAACTCGAAGTAGAAAGAAAATTTCGGATGTCTACAAAATCTTAAATATAAATTAAAATTTTATCAATTAAATTTCTTATGAATAAATAAATAATCTTAATCAATACAGCAATACTTCCATTCAGGCCTCTATCACATTTTTTGAAAACCGCAAACCATAGGCTGGAGGTATACGTATACCGGCAACCTCGACAGCTTTCTAGTATTAAAATAACCTTCCAATGAAAACAACTTAACCTTATATCGATTTTCCAACACTTTTGCTTATTTTCCAAAGAAACAACACCAAACTAATTAGTTCGGTTGTTTTATTGTTCGATATCATCTATCGGCCGCCTTCTTTAATTACCAAACGAATATCAATGAAACACTTATGAGTGAACACTCACTCATTCGTTCATTCCTTTTTCATTACTCACGCCCAAAATGTTGTTCACTACAAAATTAATCACGTTTTATTTTTTGTTATAAAGACCCCGAGAGTGAGATAAAGAGAGGGGTAACTCTGAAGGGGGGGCCATACCATAAAATTGCCACTTCATGGCCGGTCGTTGAGTATTTGTATTGTAAAAAGAAATTAACTGCTGGCCAGTAGCTGGCAGATTGTTAACAATGCTTGAGGTTATTTGTTTTCGATGGCTAATAAAAATGGTAATAAACAATAACTGTGAGCACACTTGCACTCAAACACACACCCAGAGAGGGTGCGGAAGAATGAGCAGCATTACACAGTTAATGATTTGGTTGTGGTGGTGTTGGTGTTGGCCAAGCAACGACGCCTCTTCAAGGATACTTGAATGGCATAACTGCAGAAAAATAAATTGCACACATACACAGACCAACAAACACATTCACAACAACAATGTTGCTTATAATATTTTTCGTAATTGGAATGTTTTTGCTTTTTGTTTTTTGCTTTTGCAGCTAGCAGCTATTTAACACCCATATGTTGGTCATTTAAATTAAGTGAAACAAATGAGATGTTGCGTTGTTGTTGTCATTTATTTAATATTTGTGAAATAAAATACATAATTGTAATTGTACAATAACAACAACAAGTAGATAATGGTAATTGAGGGGCGGATAAATGCAAGTCAATATTTTTTGTGGGAAATGTATTTATGAAGGAAATTAAAACTAGGGTATTGAATAGTTTGATATAATGTGTACTTGGGAGCGTATGAGTAGTGATGAAAGTCATACGATCTCTAGTACCAAAGAAATTTATTGTATTTTTAATCTTTTTATGAGATGTTTCTAAATGTGTTCACCTGGAGCAGTGTATAAAATTGATAGGTAGATTGAGATGTTAAAGACCTTGAATCCAAACACATAACCCGGATAGGGACATCAGAGAAAACAATTATGTGATCATTGTCGGGCTACCTTTTAGTAATTATAAAACTCTAATGAAATCTCAGAAAATTGTTTCATTCTTATTCTTATAGTGTTTGAGGTTCCGTAATGTATTAGTTATCAGGATTTAAAATTTAAATCTTACGAGATTTCCAATATGACAAATACATATTTCCAACATTTAATCAAGGTTAAAACATACCGATCATTGCAAGGATTTGTGACTATACAACACATATCATTTCATGCAGTCAAAAACTAATTAAGTCAGCCAGTTCAAAAACTTTGTTGTTCCCCGGAGCTCCGCTTTAATGAACAGCTTATGATTCGTAGTATTTGTGAAATATGCCTTGCTGGTAGACCTCCGTCTGAATAACCATATTCTAGTCTTGTAGGGGGACTAAATTTTTGTTTTTTATTATACCCTTCACTACACTGTGGTACAGGGTATTATGTCTTTGTGCATATGTTTGTAACAGGCAAAAATCGAGATAGACGCATGATTCCTTTTGAGAATATGCATAGAATCACTTTCTAAGTCGATTTATGCATGTCCGTCCGTCCGTCTGTCCATGTTTAATTGTAAACAAAGTTCAGGTCGCATTTATCCGAATTGGATGAAATTTGGCACATCTCATTTGTTTGGCCCAAGGACGAACCCTATTAAAATTGGGAAAAATCGGTTCAAATTTAGATATAGCTCCCATATATATTTTCGTCCGATTTAAAATAATTGTCCCTATATATCTTTCGATTTGCACGAAATTTGGCACAACGTACTATATTAAGTCTAGAATGATATGTGCAAGGTTTCGTGAAAATCGGTTCAGATTTTCCCCACATATAGCTTCGCCCGATTTTAGGTAAATAGTCCACTAAAGTCCTTGGAAATCTTTTGATTTGAACGGAATTTGGCGCAGCGTAATGAATAAGGTCCAGAATGATGTTTGCCAAGTTTCGTGAAAATCGGTTCAGATTTAGATATAGCTCCCATATGTATTTTCATCCGATTTAAAGTAATTAGTGCACCAAAGTCCATATATATCTTAGGATTTGCACGAATTTTGGCATAGTGTACTGAATTAAGTCTAGAATGATGTGTGCAAAGTTTCGTGAAAATCGGTTTATATTTAGATATAGCTCGCATATATACCTTCGCCCGATTTTAGGTAAATAGTCCACTAAAGTCCCTGGAAATATTTTGATGTGCACGAAATTTGGCACAGAGTTATGAATAAGATCGAGAATAATGTTTGCCAAGTTTCGTGAAAATCGGTTCAGATTTAAATATGTATTTATGTATTTTCATCCGATTTAAAGAAATTGGTGCACCAAAGACCCTATATATTTTTCGATTTGCACGAATTTTGGTATAGCGTACTGAATTATGTCTAGAATGATGTGTTAAGCTTTGTGAAAAGATCCATAGCTAGGCCGATTGACACAACGAACTGATGTTATATAAATTAATCTCTGGCAAGTTTCCCTGATATCGGTTCAGATATAGATTTATAACAAAACGCGTCGTCTGTTAGGATACATATGTAAAATATACCTAAAGTGGTGAAGGGTATCACATAGTCGACCCAGCCCGACTTTACTTCTTTCCTTACTGTTTATTATTGATCGCTTTTTGGTGATCTATTTATAGACATATATGAAACCTTAAATAGCACATTGAACTTGGAACTGTTTTCAATTTTTCGGAAGTTTTTTTTAATGTTAAATTCCATTACATTTAGTGAACATATTATTATTAGAACTAATGCATAAAAACGTGTTATTACTGCTTGAGGACTGCTTGTTATTACTGCTTGAGGTGTTGCGAACGGAATGAGAAGCGGATCATAAGGTAGAGGGTATAACGAGTAACAGTTAGTCGCTGTTGCAGCTGTAGTATATCCTCAAACTATGACATATGTAATATAAACTTATCCTGACTATTGTATTTAATTGTAGTTTATGGAGGTCTACGGAACCACGGATTCCCCATTCGCTTCATACGAAATTTCCTACCTCCTAACTTGATTTCTTTTGGGATATGTCGTATGTTAAAACTTTCCAATTTTTGATCGCGGGTTTAAAAATCAAAATACATTATTTCAGTCACAATTGCACTCTAGACTTCATAAATTATAAAATCGTAGGTTCATATTAATTGAATGTCAGAAAGTGTCTGAATTCAATGTCAATTTTCTTAGCCTTTTTTTTTGGAAATATATACATCCACTAAAATTCAGAGCCAAATCCGTTGTAAACATTTCCGTAACTTCTAAAGCAAATATCTTACGAAAATAACATCAGGTTCCACCTTTCAGTTGCACTTTCTTGGTTTTCCTGCATAACTACAAAAAATTTGTTAACTTCTTAAATATTTTTGCATTTTCTAACTTCTTTACTACGACAAGGTATGATAATGGCATAAAACAGAATTCTAAGTTTCCCTTTAGAAGTTAATGTTTTTGTTGTGTTTTTCTGGTTTCCCTTATCAACATAAAAAGCCTGGACTGATGGACAAGAAAAACATGGTTTCCTTTTTTAATGGCCAACATCTGGAATCTGTGTGAGAGACTAAACAAGGCAACTACCAAAAACACGGCGAAGAAGAAAACAGCCAACTAAAATCACCGCAACTAACTAAAACGCCTGGTGTACAGAAAAGTAACTAACCGACTACGCCATTCGGCCAGGCTGCCAGCCAGTCAGGCAGCGAACATAAACTAAACACTTAAAGATGATGTTTAACAAAAACGGAAATTGTTACTGTGAGCAATGAAGGAAATTAGTTTAATAAACTATTTCCTAGGATACCTCGGCTGCATGGCTGGCTGTTTACAACCGCCAGAGTAGACATGATACTGCTATGAGTCTTCCTCTCTTCCTCCCTTTACTGACTAAAGGTGGGCGATGTTTGTTCGTTTATTTGTGTGGGTAGGTAATGATATGGTTGTAAAGGTAAGCACAACAAAATACAAACACATCAACAAACATTATCGTATTTTGTTACACCTTTTTTTCAAAGGTAACGAATAAAAAACTATCTTCTGTCCTCTCATTCCATTCGCACCCATCTTCTTCGTACTCTTCTTAAATTCTTTCTAAAGCAATTACATTTTTAAACCCCTACTTAAAAACCTTTTCATATCAAATGATGTATGGCAATTCATGTTGACTGCCACCTCCGCCAACACCACAACCAATACCCAAGGATCCGACACGTGTGTATGGGATTTCTATGGTCGATGTGTGTGCGGGTGTTTGAGTATGTGAAATTAATTTCATTTAGCAAATATATTTGTATGAGCGACTTGTATTAGTTTCATGTGGTTGTGTATACATTCACATCACACACACATGCATACATATATACATTTATCCTACATCTCAAGGTATATAGAAGTAATAAAGTTGTAGATTACATTGAAGTGTTCACTTTGTCGTGGAGAGTTATTGATCCATTTAAGCTGGAATCGTGATGGTCTGCAAACATTTCATTGTGGAGGACACAAAAGGAACAGTGGTTCGATTGATGGTAATTGAAAAAAATTAATAAAAAAATACTTATTCAGGCCACATAACAAAGTAGATTATCCACAGACATCCATATTCAATCAAGCTTTATTGTAGAAGATTTCCTATAGAAATTCATATTCAGCCAGGCTGAATAGAAGATTTGCTATAGAAATCCATAGTCAGCCATGCTGAATAGGAGAATTGTTATAGAAATCATTAGTCAGCCAGGCTAAATAGAAGATTTCCTATAGAAATCATTATTCAGCCAGGCTGAATAGAAGATTTCCTATAGCAATCATTATTCAGCCAAGTTGAATAGAAGATTTCATATAGAAATCATTATTCGGCCAGGCTGAATAGAAGATTGCCTATAGAAATCATTATTCAGCCAGGCTGAGTACAAGATTTTCCACAGCAATCATTTTTCAGACAGGCTGAATAAAAAATTTCCGATATAAATCGATATTCAGCCAGGTTGAATAAAAGATTTACTATATAAATCCATATTCAGCCAGGCTGAATAAAAGTTTTCCTATTGGAAACTCTATTCAGCCAGGATGAATGAAAGTTTTCCTATAGAAAACTTTATTCAGCCAGGCTGAATAAAAGTTTTCCTATAGAAAACTCTATTCAGCCAGGCTGAATAAAATATTTCCTATAGAAATCATTATTCAGCCAGGCTGTATATAATATTTCCTATAGAAATCATTATTCAGCCAGGCAGAATAGAATATTTCCTATAGAAAGCCTTACTTAACCAGGCAGAAGAGAAGATTTCCTATAGAAATCATTATTCAGCCAGGCTGAATAAAAGATTTCCTACAGAAATCATTATTTAGCCAGGCTGAATAGAAGATTTCCTATAGAAATCATTATTCAGCCAGGCTGAATAGAAGATTTCCTTTAGAAATAATTATTCAACCAGTCTGAATAGAAGATTTCCCATAGAAAGGATTATTCAGCCAGACTGAATAGAAGATTTCCTATAGAAATCATTATTCAACCAGGCTGAATAGAAAAAATCCTATAGGAATTCATATTCAGCCAGGCTGAATAGAAACATTTCTATAGGAATCCATATTCAGCCAGGCTGAATAGAAGAATTCCTATCGAAATCCGTATTCAGCCGACTGAATAGAGGAATCCCTATCGAAATCCTTATTCAGCCGGGCTGAATAGGTGAATTCCTATAAAAATCCTTATCCAGCCTGGTTGAATAGAAGATTTTCTACAGAAATCCTCCAATGGAAATCCATATTCAGCCAGAATGAATGGAAGATATTTCTATAGAAATACATATTACATATTCATTCGAAAACTCTTATACAGCCTGGCTGAATAGAGTTTGCCATTGGAAAACTCTTATACAGCCTGGCTGAATAGAGTTTGCCATTGGAAAACTCTTATACAGCCTGGCTGAATAGAGTTTGCCATTGGAAAACTGGTATACAGCCTGACTGAATATAGTCTGGCATTGGAAAACTCTTATACAGCCTGACTGAATTTAGTCTGGCATTGGAAAACTCTTATACAGTCTGGCTGAATGGAGTTTGTCATTGGAAAACTCTTATGCAGCCTGACTGAATAGAGTTTGCCATTGTAAAACTCGTATACAGCTCGGCTGGATATAGTCTGGCATGGAAAACTTATACAGCCTGGCTGAATTGAGGTTGTGATTGGAAAACTCTTGTACAGCCTGGCTGAATAGAGTTTGTCATTGGAAAACTCTTATACAGCCTGGCTGGAAAAGTCTTATACAGCCGGGCTGAAAAGATGTTGCCATTGTAAAATTCTTATACAGCCGGGCTGAATATGGTTTTCCATTGGAAAACTCTTATACAACGGAACTGAATATATTTTGCCATTGGAAAATTCTTATACAACGGAACTGAATAGATTTTGCCATTGGAAAACTCTTATATCGCTTGGCTGAACAGAGTTTGCCATTGGAAAATTCTTATACAACGGAACTGAATAGATTTTGCCATTGTAAAATTCTTATACAGTCGGGCTGAATATGGTTTGCCAATATAAATACTGATTTAATTGGGAAATCTTCTATTCAGCCCAGATGAAGTGATTTCTACAGAAAATCTTCAATTCAGCCTGGAAACCACTGTTTTTTGTTACCACATCTTCCCTCTTTTTGCAAAATAGTGTGAATGGCCACCATAACTTTCTCAAGTGTTTCATTTTTAACCAGACAAAAACAGCACAAAGCAATAGCCAGCTTCAACTCACCTGGAATCCGTCATATGTCCAACTGCCAAATTTCATGACACAAGTTTGTTCATCGAAGGGAAAATATTCGACATCAATTTCACATGAACTTTTGTATATAGCAGGTGGTCGCCACTCAACACGTCCCGTATAGTTGAGTGTTGCCTTGGTGGCCAAAGTTACTTCGAAATTACCATCAGCACTGGATGGGGGTGGCGGGCGGTCAGGCAGACAGGAACAGAGCAACGTTCGATGAAGAGGAGTTTCAGATGAAAATCATTACAAGCAGCGAACCACACAGCATCAAAATGAGAAGAAAAACGTGAAAAAAACAAGATGAAACAAGTTAGTTGTCGTTGTTGTTATTGGTTTTGTTGTTGCTGTTGTTGGGTTAACACAATAATTGGAAAAGTTTTTAGAGTCATGAAATGAATGAATGAACAAATATGTGTCTTTGTATGTATTTATGTGTGTAATGCACTATTTAGATTGTTTGAAGTGATGGCGGTGGTTGTGATGGTTGTGTGATTGAGGTTTGATGAGGACAAACAAACATTCGGTATGAAAAGCAGAGTGGCATGACTTACTTGTTGTAGAGGACAATATCCGGTCGCCATATATGATCGCTGGGCACATGTAACATTTCAACGCCCCCATACTCCTTGGGCTCCCACTGCAGTTTGTAGTCGTACCAGGACTGTTCCACCCACAAGTTCGTTGTCATGATTTGATTCTTCAAATTGACATCAATCAGCTGCGATAATTTCAGTTTAATGCGTACCGTTAGAGCGTCCGTTACATTGACCACGGGTCGTACCAATTTATTATAGTTACTAAGGAGATCGTCGTACAGACGTTTTGCATCGGGATTCGATGTGCTGCCTGAAGAAAAAGAAACGAAGAGAAAAAATTAGACACAAATGCCGAAATATAATAAAAATGTTCTTTCTCTCATAAAAAAGTCATAAATAAATGATTGTAGATTATGTTGTGTATATGTATCGGTCTGTCTGTCTCTAGATTCATCTGATCCATTCATCTGTCTGGTTGTTTGTCCGTTTGTTGTTGGCCATAAATTTATTTGAATTTTTATTACAACCATTTAAAGATGTAATTTATGTTGTTATCGTCATTTCAAATGAAAACTGCAGTTGGCCTTTAAAAGGCGGCAACAGACACATCAGTATCGGTCCATCACCACCACAATCATGGCCAACGTGGTTGTGTGTGTGTTTAATTTTGGCCACTGCAAAGGCTTGGCGGTATACCGAGCAACCAACCAACCATTCGACGGAAGTTAAAATCGATATGAAAACAAGACTGAAATAAATGAATGAATTCTGATGTTCAACAAATGATGGCAATAAAAAATTAAATTTTATGTTTGCAACGATTGAATTTAATTGTCATAAAACGTATGATCATTAATTTTTTATTATAAAAAGAAAAACAACAACGAACAATAAAAAATAAATTGTCGCACATTAATTAACAGCGAAGGAGAGTTAAATAATTAATTTCGGCTATGAAAAATATTTAAATTAAAAAATATTCAGGTGTATAAGAGTTACTTCCATAGCAAACTCACATAAACTCAGCTGTATAAGAGTTTTCTGAGAAGAAATATTCGGACAGACTATATAAGTGTTTTTTCTCAGCGATTTCATAACGGAAACCCTATTCAGCCCTGGTGTATAAGAGTTTTCACATAACGAACTCTATTCTATCAGGCTGTATACGAGGATTTAAAAAACAAACTCTTTTCATCCAAACTTTAAAAATTTTTTCAGATGACTAACTTACAGTCTGTATAAGACTTTTCCAATAATGAACTCTATTCTGCAGGCGGCGTAAGAGTTTACCAATGACAAATTCTATTCAACCGTGCAGTATAAGAGTTTCCTAATGACAAACTCAATTCAGCTAAGCTGTATACAAATTTTCCAGTCAACCAGGCTGAATAAAAATACCTTGAAAAGTAGTCTATAAAAATCCACGCCTGAAAGAGATCCTGAAAAACTAGCCTTTAAAAATCCACGCCAGAAAGAGATCCTGAAAAAGTAGTCTTTAAAAATCCACGCCAGAAAGAGATCCTGAAAAACGAGTCCTTAAAAAAATCACGCCTGAAAGAGATACTGAAAAAAAGTCTTAAAAAAATCATCGCCAAAAGGAGATCCTGAAAAACTAGTCTTTAAAAAATCTACGCCTGAAAAAGATACCGAAAAACTAGTCTTTAAAAAATCCACGCTTAAAAAAGATCCTGAAAAGTAGTCTTTAAAAAATCCACGTCTGAAAGAGATACTGAAAATCGAGTCTTTAAAAAATCCACGCCTGAAAGAGATACTAAAAAGCCAGTCTTTAAAAATCCACATCCTTGAAACAATTTTCTTTGCAAAAATCCACGCCTTCTTTGGTCCTTGAAACAATTTTCTTTGCAAAAATCCACGCCTTCTTTGGTCCTTGAAACAATTTTCTTTGAAAAATCCACGCCTATTTTTGGTCCTTGAAAAAATTTTCTTTGAAAAATCCACGCCTATTTTTGGTCCTTGAAAATTTTTTCTTTGAAAAATCCACGCCGATTTTTGGTCCTTGAAAAAATTTTATTTGAAAAATCCACGCCTATTTTTGGTCCTTGAAAAATTTTTCTTTGAAAAATCTACGCCTATTTTTGGTCCTTGAAAAAATTTTCTTTTATCTTTTATCTAATCTTTAAAAATGCCACGCCTTTGGTAGCCCTTGAATTTTTTTTTTAAAATTAATCTTAAAAATTGCCACGCCTTTTGTAGCCCTTAAAAATATCTTTAAAAAATCCTCGCCTTCGGTAGTCCTTGAAAAATTAATCTTTAAAAAATTAAAAATATTCTTTAAAAAATCCACGCCCTAAATGGTCCTTGAAAAAATATTCGTTAAAAAATCCACGCCCTAAATGGTCCTTGAAGAAATATTCGTTAAAAAATCCACGCCCTAAATGGTCCTTGAAAAAATAGTCTTTAAAAAATCCACGCCTTAATGATCCTTGAAAAAATATTCTTTAAAAAATCCACGCCTTAATGATCCTTGAAAAAACATTCTTTAAAAAATCCACGCCTTAAATAGTCCTTAAAAAAATAGTCTTTAAAAAAATCCACGCCTTAATGATCCTTGAAAAAATATTCTTTAAAAAATCCACGGTATTGAAAAATATTCTTTAAAAAATCCACCCCTCTATTATTATTAATATTTTGTGGTATTATTTTCGGTGAACTTCCTTTTCGCCTTGACTTCATTATGGCCCAAATCAATTTTTCATTAAATCATAAATAAATATTTGATTTGCATTCACATTCATACAAATATCAGATAATAGATATTTTTCTTTTGTTGTCAAGACAATAATTTTTAGGCCCATAACTCTGTCGATAAAGGCCGAGCGAGGACAAGATATGAGAGTGGAATGAATAATGATTTGATTGATTCTTTCTAATGCAAAAATATTTAAATTAATATACCCGGATGGGCGAACCAAGAGGGTGGGGTGCTGGAGGTTGCCAAAACTTTGTATTTTTTGTCCTCAGTGATGGGTATTAATTGTGTTTACTTTGTCAAATCATAAATCTCCATTTACCTTCCTCTCCATCAAAAATTTCTTAAAAGGAAATCAAACAAAGGAGGAACAATAAAGGCGACCATTTGGCCACACAGTTTATTACATAGACAATGGTTATGATTTGTGTGGCATTAGAGAGGATGAAGACTGAGAGAGGGGAGCAATGGAGGGCGAGGGAGTAAGACAGATAAGTCAAACTGTTTATTGATAAATGCTAAAAGTTTATTATTTGCCATTTGGCCATTTTGTATAAATAATTACTGGAATAACAATAACAAATTAGCCGAACAATAACGACCTTGGTCGATACATTGGTTCTTGGTTTGGTTGTCATGCCTTAAAAGCCAATAAACAAATATTTGGGGGAAGATAAATAAAAATCAATAATGTGAAATAAAATTGTGTGATGTGTATTGTGCTATGTGAATCGTAATAATAAATAGGTTTGTAGAATTTGTAAATTTTATTAGTTAATGATGTATGGGTAATTATTGTAAAATTATGAGAATATTAATAAGATTTAAAAGTGTGGATTAATGTCGATGTGGTAGGCAATTAAATGTGGCTTTTTAATACAGATTTTATTTTAAAATTAATTGGTCATTAATGTTAAATGAATACTAGAGATTGTAGGATTAGGAGTTGGATAAGAAAAAAACATATTTTCTTGGTTGAATGTACAATAACGAAATGAGTAGAAAACAAGTAAAAACGTCATCAAATCGGCCGGGTTGAACTTTGTATTCCTCTCACCATGAGGTGGGCATTTAAAATGCCCGTAATCGTTCGGGACCATTATAAATGACAGCTATGTCCTGGTTAATTTTTTGTGTAAAGATTTTTCACCCAAGTAAAACTAAAGTAAAACCAGTACGGTTAAACACGCCCATAATCCCAAAAATACCGAATGATTGGGTATGGTTATATAGGGACTATCTTTAAAAGTAATATTTGGTAAGAGCATTTCCTAAAAAATTCTGGATTATAGTCAAAATGCCCCAATTTGAAGGGTACCGTTATATAGGGGCCTTTGTAAAAATTTGACCTATATTTATAGTTTTCGGTATAAAGATCTGCTACCCAATGACAAAATACTAAATTATAATATATATTTTGTTATTTTAAATAATAAAGGACCTACGGGACCAATTAAATTTGAAATATAGGTCAATATTTTGGTATAGATCTCATACAACAATTTCGAACCATTTTCAGTATTTTACAGATCATTGACGAAAGCCTCCCATCAGAATATGTTTAAGTTGTCTTTGTTTAGACAAAGTTCTCTGATCAGAATCTCTATTACCCTTATGTATTTCCATGTATTTTATAATCAAATTTTTTATAAATCGGTTCCGAACCCACTAAAACCTCCATATATATTAAGCAATATATGTTCTATAAACAAACGATTTTTGGCCAGTTGACGGAATTGAGTGCTCATTAAGGTGAAAGGTACTCATGTGTACGAAAAGTACTATATGGTACTATATTTGGTAAAAATTTAATTTTGGGATTCAAATCGAGCTGCATTCCAGAAATTTGAAATTAACATTACCGTCGGAGTGTAGGATTGGGACATGTACGTAGTTTTGGAAATTTTTTACTGATGTGTACGAAAAGTACTAAATTGGTACAATTTATATTTGGGCGAACCGATAGAGCGGGAACAATGAAATTTTGAATCAGGATCATTGTAGGGGTGTAGGATTAGGGCCAGGATTCTGTCTAAGAAATTAGTACTTATGTGTACAAAATGGTACTAAATTTGGTATAAATTGAATTTTAGGTCAACCAAAAGAGCTAGAATCATGAAATTTGGAGTCAGGATCACTGTTGAGGTGTAATATTGAGATATGTAGGAGTTTTAGAAATTTGTACTAATGTGCACTAAATTTGGTACAATTTGAATTGTGGGTGAAGCGATAGAGTTGAAATTTTTGGTTTAGGATCACTGTGGAGGTGTAGGTTTGGGGTATGTAAGAAGTTTTGGAAATTGGTAATACTGTGTACTAAATTTGGTACAATTTGATTTGTGGCTGAACCAATAGTGTTGGAATCCTGAAACTTAAATTTGGGATCACTGTGGGAGTTAAGTAGGAGGTTTTGGTAATTGGTACTACTGTGTACTAAATTTTGTACAATTTGAATTGTGGGTGAACCGATAGAGTTTGAATCCTGAAACTAAGATTTAGGAGCATTGTCGGGGTGAAGGTTTGATT